CCGGAGGGATGGAAGGCTTGGTTGGCCTAGGCGGGCCAACCAAGCCTATATGAACCCTGACCGTGCATGTGATATAGTGCGCCACTTGCCACTACACCACCTCCACCCTATAAGGAGGATATCTTAGCCAAATTCGAAATCGAAATTCTATACCAGCAATATTTTAGCCGAAGTCGAAGTCAAAATTTTATACCAGTAATAACTTAGCCGAATTTGAAGTCAAAATATCTCTCCGTCAACCTAGCACCAATAACAAAAGTCATATTCGAGATCAGGATCATCAGAAATACTCCCATATGATGTCGCCGCGGAAAACACTTCTCGTTAGCTATAACACTTTGATATGACTTTCACTTCTGTTATTCCAAATTATTCAGGTTTTATTGCCGGTGATCGAGGTTAACACTGCATTGAGGAAATTGAATCTGGAGACAAATTATCTGAGTGGTGATTTCTTCGCCAAGCTCTTCAGGGCGGCGCTGGTCAATCAAACGCTTGAGGAAGTCAAAGCTGTTAATCAGGTGGGTATGACTGCTATCTTGCATCAGGAAGTAAATTCAACGTTTCCTCTGGAGCTGCAGAGACACATGGGTCACAGATGTCTGCGAATGCTCCATTATTTATCATTTCTCTTTAATATGAACATTTCCCATTTCCTTTTAAGGGTGTTTCGTTTGCAACAGTTGCCGAGAAGGAGATCATCGACTGCATCGTGGCGAACACTGGATTATTGAAGGTTCATTTCCGATAACCTTTTTGCATAAAAAAACTTTTACAAGCCTTAGATGTAGTATGCTCTTTCTGGTGCCTATGGAGCTCCAAAGTACATAGTTCAGAAGCACAGTTCACGTTAAAGATGGCTTGTGAAGTTCCTCCTTTATATGAACTTTTGACTCTCGAGGATAACACAAGGGACGGGGTCGGGACAAAAAACGGTCCATGTAAGGGCATAGTGAGGGCTTCAGCTCATTACGGCCTATTTGAAACCGTCTTGGCCGACGCACACACCCAATGCGGACGAGCGATCACGGTGGAGGCTGCAAAGATAGCACCATTTGTACCGGGTGAACGCAAGCAGCTTATTGTAGCCAGTTGTTTGTGTAGGCAGTTTGTGGCACACAACTCGCCCAAATACCCCTTCCATGCAATTTTGGTCGTCGCTTTAACCTCTAAATTTACTTCTTCCTTTTTAAAACTCTACGTATCCTCATCAACCCCATTTTCTGCTAAAAATAGGTACCCGGAATTATCGTGAGCTGTGCCTTCGCGTTGCCTGGCTGATTCGTGCTACCCTCTTCTTTTCCGTACAAATGAGTGGAGTATCCACCGCCGATCACTATTACTTTTGTTGAAGTCTTATGAGTGCCGTGTTATGGCTGTTTCTTGTTTCTATCGTCAACTTCACGATAAATCCAACATTTCTGCAGATCTCTGTGAATCTTCGACTCCCAGAAGGACGGCACAAAGTCGAAAATGCCACATTGCGGAACGGCGAACTGAGTATGTTCTCAATTCACTAATGACTCGATTTCACCTTGGATCACTCGGAACTACACTGTCATTTTTGCAATATGCCTTCTTTAGAACGAGTGCTTCGTCGTGAAGCGGCGAGAAAGGCCGCATGGGAAGCTGAGGAACTGGCGAAGAATCCTGTGGTGAGGCCTTGAACTTTCATGTTCATCCGCCGTTGAACCAATAACCCTTCTTATATGTATCAATCGACAGCAACACGCGTACATTTCCGAGCTTTTCTTCGTCGTTCCCTTGTTGCAGAGCTCTGGAATCGAACATATCTCTCAATAACAATTTTGTTTTGGAAAATTCGTCCTGTGGTTTATAACATGCACGAATTTCCCCAGATCTTGAAATTCCTATTGTTATAGAATTAGCGCGCGCTTTTGATTCGAGTAGTATAAAACCTGACTGGCCCAACTTCTTGTTTCTGAAGTGGGGGAAACTAGGAAAATCAGTCCCTACATACCAACGCTCTAAGCGTTAGCAGCGCTTTTTGTACAGAGCACATTTTTGATCGCTGTAATATATTCCTCTCCAATGGCTGCCATTTTTTAGAATGAGTTGGCCCCTGTACTGAAGTTTCACTTCACATACTTATGCACGTAAATTTTACTTCCTTTTTCTAGCCCAAGCTCCCCAAGGAACCTAAAAAGGTGCCTAAAAAAGAAGCCGCAACCACCGCAGCAAAGGTGCGTTTATAGTGAAGTCGCATGCGCGTTAGTGCCACATTAGCACATACTAAAATAGTTGTTTTTGACACTTAGTTGCTTTTCGAAAAAATAGGTTCTCTCGGTTGTGTTCATGTGTCCGGTGTCTGTGATTGCGTGTGTATATGTCTGTGCGTGTGTGTATCGAAAGATAAAGATTGTCTTGTTTACTTATTTGTTTGTTTGGATTTTTCTCATAGCATGCTGTTGTTATTTATTTTCTTAGATAGTCATCGAAACACCAGATAGCGACTTTGCCGTTCCTTTGGTTAACACCTCCACGAGGCGGCTCTTCTGCTCTCACTCTGTCAAAGCTGAAGAGTCATTACAGAGGTTTTGCGAGCCGCTTCAGTTCAAACATACTACACGCATAGACTTTACATAGTCAGCTACAGTAGATAGGAAGTAGAGATAGAGACACGGCAGACTATGACTTCATTTATTTAGGAGCCTCTCGCTAAGGCTAAGGACGCTAAGGAAGCGGCTCCAAAATCAACACCAGCTGTCAAGAAACCTACGCCAACCGCTACTAAACCTCCAGTTACTAAACCCTCTGTGCCCTCTACAGCTAAAGAAAAAAATGCTTCAGTGGTTGATAAAAAAGACGCAGCCAAGGTAGCAGCACCAAAAAAAGACGAGAAGCTGGAAGTCACGAAAGCGAAAACGGATGGAACAGTACCGAAATCTACCACGAAATCAGCTGCTTCTCCGAAAGCTGCCCCGAAAACAGCAAAGAAACAGGAGGACGCTGAAGAAAAACCTGTGGTCGCTCCGAAGAAAGCCACAGATGCAAAAGCAGCTCCTGCTCCGCCCAAGAAGAGTGCAGCTCCTGCAAAGAAACCTGCAGAAACGAATGAAGAAAGTGCTGCTCCAAGACCATTGAAACCGTCGGAGATAAAAGCAAAACAGGCGCTTAAGAACAAAGCGACGGAATCAGATGAAAAGAAACCTACCTCTATAAAAGTTGCGGCACTTTCTAGGAAAGCTGAGCCTGGCTCTGCTGCGAAGGAAGGAGCTGAGCAAGACCGCCTCAAAAAAGCGAAAGATACAGCAAAGAAATTGGGCGATCAGAAAGCGGCAAAGTCAGATTCCTTGGAGAAACATGATGAAACGGTTGAAAACGGGCCAGCCTCACTTGCAAAATCGTCGGAACCCAGTGACAAGAAGCGGGTTACTCCCAGCAAAACCGATAAGGCAAAGGAGACGTCAGTAGAGAAGAAAGAAAAAACACCGTCTTCCAAGGAAAAACCAAAGACCGTGGCGGCTCGAAAGAAAACAACGTCCACGGAAAGCCACACGGAAGCCAACGGAGTATTGCCAACGGAGGGACGGGCATCCAAACGCGGTGATAAGGAGGAAGATTCGAAAGTGTCTCGCAAGAAGCCAGCCAAGGATAGCAAATTACCACAAGCTGTGCCTGAACCAGAGAAGTCACCTGAGCGTATACTCGATGCCGCCGACAAGAAAAATGCTGCGGAAGTCGCCGAGAAGTCTGCGAGAAAGCAAAGCGAACCCGAAGAAGATGCGATGTCGGCTTTGCGAGCTAAATTAAATGCGAGACGATACATGTAAAAAGATCAGAGATAGGGACAAGTCGCCCGGTCGTCATCGCCACTATCAGCAGCGTTCTATGCGTGTATACAAATGCTTGTGAAAAATATGCGTGTACAGTACAACTATACAGTGCACTCGGGGTAAAATTTATCGTTTTCATTCATTAGTGCATTTCATTCTTTGCGGATATTACCACGTCTAGTCCTTGTGTTATCTCTGTATATAATAGCTGTATTGTTGTATGTGTGTAGTAATGTATTGAATCGCTGTCATGTAACTGTGTACACTCCGTACGTTTTCAGAACCGCTGAGCTGCGGATTCCGTTTCGTATTTCTTCTTCTCCAATTTCGTACGTTAAAATATGCTCAACGTCTTCTGCAGTGCTTATCAGCCACACGTGTTTGTGATAATAGCGAGTTCAGGATGAGGAGGGCCAAAGGAGGAAGTCGTCCGTCGACGAGCCGATGACCGTATACAAACTTCGTCGTCCACGTCGTTCATCGCCAAAGGACGTCGAAAAGCGAACGCTCGTTGCGTAACTAGGGGAAAACATGGTAGTGCCTTTGGAAGAAATGCTTCCATTACCATGATTATGTTTCTACTACTTGCCAGCACTAACTGCTCTTCGTGTATTACCGTAATCTTGTGGTGCAAGAAATCACTTTAAACCCTATGGCTGCTTTCATAGTCCGCCGGCCGACCGACTGGCGGACTATGAAAGCAGCCTATGCGATCTGATGGTATTTTATTTGCTGTCTAAAAGCATCCTGAAGACAGTTAGGTGGCATTAGAAGTTTGTCATTTGGGTTATTAATTACTTTCACACAAGGATTCCAGTCCTGTTTGGCAAGAAAAGGATAGGTTCTAGACCAGGCACATTCCATTCGCGCGACAAGTGAGATCCTTTCTCTGCGAAATTGTTCTCGTTCTGTTTTCCTAAGGTCCATTCACGTAATTGTTGGCGAGATTGGTTCTCTTTCATGATCATTTCCTTATTCATCGAGCCTGTGTTCGAACCAAGTGCCACCAAATATCAGTCCTCCACGGACGCTGGGAAAGCATTCCTGAGGAATAGGTAACTTTGGGGCAACTAATCGACCTGTCAGCTGATAAAAGCAAAAATGAATCTGCCACTTGCATTTCCCACAGCCTATCAATCGCCTGAATCCCTGCTCTAAGCGCTTTTTTGAAGATTAGAAAGTAGTGGTCGTCTCAAAAAGAAGCTGCCATAACCACAATATTTCGGTGAGTCTTCCCTAACTTATTTCTCTAATATTTATGTGCCAGCCTTAAGTTCATGATCACATCGCATTGTATCAACAGAAAGAAGTAAGGAAAAAGACTCTAGTCATTTCTCGATTCATGTGTTCGCTACAGTTTACGCTATATTCTTTGGAGAAATGAACATCGAAAGATCACATCTTTATTGTTGTACCCGTACAGAAGGAAGAGTTAAGAACACAGAGAGAATCGTAGTTGAACGGTTAATTGATTGATCACAGGAAGTGAGCGAATAGGGCTTTTTCCTTCTCGCTTTCCGACAAACTGAAATGTAGGAAATATTGGGCAAACTTCGAGAAATCAACTAACATTGGGTAAATAGTTGTCAGGGACTATGAAAGTTTTAGTGGTATATGAAAGTTGGTTGAAAGGAAGTTGGTTACATTGATTCCAAGGACAGTAGGTACTGTTTTGAAGTACTCAAATAGTTTTTCGTAGGGTCAGGTCGAAGAGGAATCATCTCTGTCCAGTTGCACGAGCACTGGATCCATTTCCATCTCAGTTCTTCGTACTCAAAGTTTTAAGTATATGTAGGTTGCCATTTATATTTCGGGATTAGGGAACAAAAATAAATATTAATCATCGAAAACTGCTTTATTGTTTTTCAAAATATTCAATATTAAGNTCTACACACTTTTGCATGCGTCTGATTGCGTTTTTTTAAAATTTTTTTTGACAGTCAAATGTTCATGCAAGATTGAGTGTGTGCTGGTCCCACTAATGCCTAAAGTGGTCTCAATCTCACGATAGGTAATCTGGCGAGTCACATGGTTTCCGGAGCAACAACTAATTTTGGACGACCTCCACGAAATTCGTCTTGGAGTGACCTACGACCTCGGATAAATTCACCATACCATCGATAAACACTAGTCCTTTATCGCCAATAATTGAACTAAGTTCATCCACTAAGTCCATGCACTGTTGCTGAGCTAATCTACGTCAAAGTTGTAAAAATAATCGCACGAAAATGTCCACGATTTAAGCCCATTTTTGACCTAAATAAATCCTTCAAGTAAGGGTTTTCTGGGTACGTCTAACCTAAAAAAGGTCAAACTTTACGATGGAGCTGTTATTTGCCAGATTGCAATATTAGGGTTGCCCAATCCCGAAATAAAAAAGGTAACCCTCGTATCGGATATCAAGAAAGTATGCACATAACATATCCACAAATTTCACAATACTGAAGTCAGTAGACCAGATCGAGACTACTCTCAACCTTCTTGTTTCGAGCTTCGCAGCAATGCAGCGAGACATTCACAGAATTGCTTCGAGGTTGCTTCGGAGTCAAATACTCAACACAAGTTTCGATGGGCTTCAGGGGTGTGATATTTCTTCCACGACCTGTCGCGCTCGCCGCAGCCACACTTATTCCGGTTATATTCTTTTTCCTTACTGACCTTTCTTTCTTAATTATATGCAAATTCACTACTCTGGTCCTAAGGGTTCTTTGGGAGGATCGTATCTCTCGATTTTGCGGGGAAACAGCTACATCTTTGAAAGGGAGCTTCTATTGCAACTACATCTTCTACATACTTAAGGTGGGCTTTTTTTTGCGGAATCGTTTGGGTCCTGTCCTGTGATTTGACGGGCACAAGGTACAGGGACATGATGCTGAACACTGATTCACTCACAGCAGAAAATGTCTGGTGGATGGTTCCCTCAAGGGATAACGATCCGAAGCACACACGAAGTTTCGTGAAGGCAGCGTTCGAGAAGAAAAACTCAGAGATTTCTACCGGCCACGCCAGCCTTACTTATATCCAATTGAACACGTATGGAAGGAGCTTGGAAGATAATGCTCGATTTCATACAAAAAGAAAGTCATGAACTCAACGTCTTTCCTCTGTGAAGCAGTGGTCAGGATTTATGGATTTCTCACCAAGCGTTGACCCTTCCGAAAATTTC